TTACTGACTGCTGAAAGTGGTGTCAGCGCTGAGACAGACACAAGAGGACTTGTCTCTAATTTGAGACCTCACCCTTATTGCTCTGCTGATTGTTCCATATCCAGGACAGAAGTTATCCCCTCTGTGGTCTCTCGTAGTCCCCTCCTCTGCCAGCTGTGTCCCAACAGCACAAAACCACCACCTTTCTCCAGGCTGAGTGTCTCTCTGCATTTGCCTTCCAGGTGAGCAGGAGCTCTTCCCCTGAGACCCTCCCCACGATGCTGTGGCTGGTGCTGCGGCAGGGGTTTCTGGCTGGGACACAGTGAGGTGGTGAGATCCTTGGCAACTTCATGTCCTCAGTTCTTCTACAAGGGCATGGTCCCTAAGACTGGCCTGGAGCCACCCAACCCAGCTGAGATCTGCCAGCACTACAACAACCAGTACCAGTTTGCTACCCTGTACGACACAGCCAGGCGCATTCCTGTGTACTCTGCCTACATCTACGAGCCTGGAGCTGCCAAGAGATCTCAGGGCTGGTTGATTGAGCCCCAGGTGAGTGTCCTCTTGTACAGCACATTAATGACCTTTCAGTCATGTGGAGAACTGCAGCATTTAACCAAACATTTCTATTTCCTCTCACCCCCTATGCACATACAGATGGATCCACTGGATGGGATTCATCTCATTGTACTGCAAACATCTTTACCACATAGAATCATAGAATCATCAGGGCTGAAGGAGACCTCTAAGATCATTGAGTCCAACCTTTAACCTGTCACTGTTGGAACCCCTAAACCAGATCCTCCAGTGCCACATCCAGACACCTCTTACACACCTCCAGGGATGGTGACTCCACCACCTCCCTGGGCAATATCCCAGTGCCTGGACCCCCTCACAGGGAAAACATTTCTCTTCACATCCAATCTGACTCTGCCCTGGCTCAGCTCAAGGCCATTCCCTCTATCCTCTCCCTGCAGCCATGGCAGGACACACATCCCCCACCTCTCTCCAGCCCTGGCAGGAGTTGCAGAGAGCCAGGAGGTCACCCCTGAGCCTCTTCTCCAGGCTGACCTACCCAACTCCCTCGGCCCTTCCTCATGTGTTCCAGACCTTTCCTGCCCTCGTTGCCCTGGGCTGGACTCACTCCAGTCAAAATGAAAGCTGCCAGATTCTGGTCTTGTTTAGTTATTGTAAAGCTCTTGTGTTCACCCAGGAGGGGAAGCTATATGGTTTCTCCTGGATTCATACATTTTCATAGACCAAGGTGACAAAGTAATGGGTGCTTGACACTCTGAGCCTTCTGCTCCAGGAAAACCTGCTCCGTTGCTCCCACCCACAATACTAACAACTTTTCTTCTTTATCTGTCAAGCTGGTGAATCCAAAATATTCCAAATCTATGGAAACTGAGAATAACCTCTTAAATCGTGAGGACATCAACATACAGGACATCGGCAGTAGCCAGGCTACCACCCAAGACTACGTGGGCCTGAAGGGTTTGACTCGTGGCCATATGAACCCCAGTGGCCATCACAGTAACTTCACCAGCAAGAAGGCTACCTTCACCCTCACCAACATAGTGCCCCAGAATGACAAACTCAACAGCGGTGCCTGGAGCCGCTACGAGGTGTCAACGATGGCCAAGAAGTCTAAGGGCTGTACTACCACCTATGTCATCACGGGGGCTGTGCCTGGGAACACCAACATTGCCAATGGGAGGGTCAACACCCCCAGCCACATCTGGTCCAGTGCCTGCTGTGTGACAAAGAGCAAGTTAGTGGCTTGGGCAGGCATTGCCGAGAATAACAAGGACAAGGTTCAGCAAATCTCACTGGGGGATCTGGAGAAAATGTTAAGCAATCTCTACACGAGGGGACGTGTTTCTCTCTTCCACAGTGACTGTCCCCGCCAATAAGCCTCTCAGCTGGGTGTAAAAGGCTCAGGAGCTTTTGCCACATCATAGAATCACAGAATCACAGAATGGGTTGGGTTGGGAAGGATCTTAAAGATCATCTGATTCCAATATCCTGCCATGGGCAGGGGCACCTTCCACAAGATCAGGTTAGTCCAAGCCCTTCCCAGAAAGGCTGGTCAGACACTGGAATGTGCTGCCCAGGGAGGTTGTGGAGCCACCATCCCTGGAGGTATTTGGGGAAAGACTGGATGTGGCACTTACTGGCATGGTCTAGTTGACACGGTGGTGTCAGGTCCTAGGTTGGACTCGATGATCTCAGAGGTCTTTTCCAATCTGATTGATTCTGTGATTCTGTGATCCTGGGACAAGGCAAGCAAAGAGCCCAAGGGTTCATGGATCAGAGGCTATAAGGATTATCCCACAAATACATTCTGACCAACACAGCCAGTCACAGCAGCAAAGGATACAGGGAAAGTTAAAGGTGGGAGGAAATACAACTGGATGTAGGAGGAGCATCCCAGCTCTCCTGAGGTCTATATGCAAACAAAAAAAGGAGAAGGAAGGAAATAATCTCCATGTAATCACTAGGCTCCCTATAAATAACCCTGAGCTTTCCCAGAGGGAGTGTTTATGCAAATCTGCCAGCAGGTTTTGTTTGCTGCTTTTGAAACCTGCCCTGAGAGCAGCAGCTGAGGTCCCAAACAGCCAGGCTCGGTGTCAGGGACACAGTGAGCTCTGAGCAGCCACAGACACATCTCTGGGATGCTCTGCTTTGATAATTTCATTCTCTGCTTCTGAAACTTCTCTGCAGATTTATGCAAAGCTGATCTTGTGACATGTATTCAGCAGGTGCAACAGATCAGCGTGTTCCAGATCATGTAGCTCCTGAGTAGCTTACAATAAAAACTCTGCTTTGGTGCTGGATTGCAGAGTCAACTTCTTTATAACCCAGAAATTGCTTGAACCTTGGCCTCAGCCCATGGCTCCATCCAGCCCCGATCCCTCTGCAGAGCCTTCCTACCCTCCAGCAGAGCAACACTCCACCTAACCTGCTCTCATCCGTGAACTTACTGAGGCTAAGCTCGATACAGCCAACCTAGACTTCCCCTCCTTCAGTCTGAAGTCATTGCTCCTTGTCCTGTCCCTGCAGCTCCTACCCAAGAGTCCCTCTGCAGCTTCCCTGGAGCCTCTTCAGATCCTGACAGGTTGTTCTGAGGTCTCCACACAACCTTCTCTTCTCCTCCAGGGTGAACAGCCCCAGCTCTCTCAGCCTGTCCTCGTAGGGGAGATGCTCCAATCCTCTTAGCAACTTTGTGGCCTCCTCTGGACTTGCTCCAACAGTTCCATGATGTCCTTCTGATGCTGAGGACACCAGGACTGTGTGCAGTATTCCAGGTGGGTCTCACCAGAGCAAAGTAGAGGGGAAGAATCACCTCTTTTGCCCTGCTGCCCCCACTCCTGTGGCTGCAGCTCAGGATTCCATTGGCTTTCTGGGCTGAGCTCACACTGCAGCTCAGGGTGAGCTTCTCATCCATGACCATGAGTCATTTGATCTGTATAGATCCCTCTACATATCTGTGTGTGTATGTGGCTTAGACAAACAAATACGTACATACATATGTTACAGAATTATATTTATTGTTATAGCTATATTTAGGCAATGGGGTGAGATGAACTGCTCTCTACAGGGACTTGTTCCCCCATTGCCTGTCTCACACACAGGTGAGGCCCAACTTACCAGACTGTGGCTAAAAAGAGGCAGAAGGCTATTCAGACTTCACAGATTCCCAATAATACATGCCAAGTATTGTATGTGCTTGAGCCTGTCCTCAAATGCCTTTGCACCAGGTTCTCTGGTGCTCTCAGCTATGCAAGGAGCTCTCAGATTAATCAGCCACCAGGATCTGCAGCATCCTTGTCTGAGCTGGAGAAATGATGCAGCAACTCTTGTGCAAGGAACTAGCCCAGAGAGCTGGGAAGAGGAGGGTGATGGTGAATGCATGTGTATGGTGAGCTGGAAGAGAGTCCAGTCAGATTTTCAGCTCATGGGCAGGGGGAAATGGGTTTAATTTCCAAGAGGAACAGTCTGAGGAGGAGAAAAACGTTCATGTGTTTGACCCTCGTGAGTGGGGAAGGGGCAGGGGACAGCAGGGGTGCGGCAAAGCAGCTCTGTCTGTGGGGTGAAAGGATGGAGCAGCACCTCATGTGCCTGGGCGAGGGCTCCAGGGGGACCTGCCTGGTAGGGACTGCAGAGGCTGCAGATCCATTAGCAACACATCATGGGAGGAGGAGGAGGAGGAGGGGGAGAAGGGAGTTTGGGGAGCAGTGTCAAGCAGGGCTCTTCTCATCGCTCAGTGATGGGCTGCACTCCTTCCACCAGTGCTCTGGAGGTGGAAAGTCACTCTGTCCCCAGGAGAGTGAAGCTGCAGGATTTTCTGCCTCCTTCACATCTGCAGTGGAGTGTCCAGGATTCCTCCTCATTCATCTCTGCTGATCTCAGAGCCACAGGTACCATCTGCTTTCTTCTGTAGCAGGTTACCAGTTCCATGAGTTTGCATCTGAACACCACAATTCCCTGAGAAGTCTTTTCTACAATGGGAAAAAGATTTACTATGGGTGGGAAGAAACAGGTTTTCCATGGCTTCTTCTGTCTTTACTGTGAGAAACCACAGTACTTTTTGCAGAAGACTCCACTTAGGATCTCAGCTCCTATTGCATTTCTTACTCTGCTACGATTTCATGACTAGTTCCACCACAGGGACAGGGAAATGTAGCTCATTCTTGGCACCTTTTCACCCAACATGCCGTCAGAAACCCTACAATGTCCCAGGCAATCTGCACTCTGTTGATCATCTCCACTAAAGTGAGTTTCAAAGCATTGTCTCCACTTTCCATGGCTTTATCCTATCGTGAACTGGTAACAATCCACTGCTGACGTGGTTTTGCAAGGTCCTCCCCCCTCCTTTCCAAGACAAATCCCCATTCAGCTAAGAAGCAAAGCTCAGCAGTAACTAGTAAGGAACATGAAGAGCAACAGAGATGAGAATTAGCAGAGAGAGTGGAGAAGAAAATGCCCAAATGTCAAATGGGGAACAAAATTACATGGTTGTGGTGGCAGATGCTCCACCAGACTTGCCCCAGGTTAGCCAGAGAGAAAAGCACTGATAACACAATTCATCAGAAATCAGCATTGTCAGAATCATGGAATGGGTTGGCTTGGAGGGACCTTAAAGGCCATCGGGTTCTGCTCTCCCCACCATGGGCAGGGACACCTCCCACTGGACCAGTTGCTCAGAGCTCCATCCAACCTGGCCTGGAACACCTCCAGGGATGAGGAGTTCACAACCTCTCTGGGCAACCTGTGTCACAGGTTTTTGATTTCCAAAGCTCTGATTCCTTCTTTTCCTGTGCTAGTATTTAATAGCTGGACTAGACAACCCAAATTCCAGGGTCATTATTTAATACCAAAGAAGGTGTTCAGAAATCTAAGCAGTGCAACAGAGAGGTGGATGATCCAGTTGCTAACTCTTCTGCTCTAGGGAATTATTTCCTTTTGGCTATCACATTGTCCTTGCTCTGTCCACTTACCACATTACCTGCTTGGCAAGTCACAGGAAGGCAGCAGGAACCACCAGCAGAACAAAACACACAGCTGTTAAAACAGAAATTCAACCTGGTTAGCACCTGGTTTTATCTCAGTTACTGCAGTCACCCCAATTGGGAGAAAAAGGCAAGATCTGGGATAGGTTTCATCCTGCCCCTGTGCCCAGAGGCAAGAGCTTTGCCATGGTGCCCCATTGCTCAGCCCCACGGGGCAAACAGGACTGATCATAGGGGGATTGGGCAACTAGAGAGCAACCACAGCCTAACAACCAGGGGATGTTGTGGTCTCTGGCACAGTCTGCAATATTCCCCCATCCTTTCCTTTATCTCACTCCACTGTTCCTCCCTGTTATCACCTGCACTGCAGTTGTTGGCAGACTCCAGCTGGAGCCAAGAGCCTTGTGCAAATCCTGAGCATGGGCACAGTAAGAGACAAATTCCACCTCAGCAGCTAAGGCTGAATGGAGATGGGGAAGGGGGAGATGAAGATCTCTTCAGACTGATCTAAATGCATCAGTTTAGCTGTGAGGAAATGGTTTATCTGCCCACTGGTTTTTATTCTTTTGAAAATGCTAAAACATATAATTGAAGTATTTACATTTTTTCCTGCCTTTTTTTTCCCCCAGTTGAAGTGATTCACTGAATTCACAGAAAGTCTCAGGGAAAAGATCTGGAAATGGCTAAAACTAGACTTTTGGTTGGTCTGTTTTCCACTCCTTACAAGTAAGTCTTTGAAAACTTCTTTATAGAAAGCTGAAGTGCTTAAACAATCTGTTTGCACTGTCTTTCCTAACTTCTCCCCCAAGACATGGACACAAATGTGTCCTGCAGTGTATTGATTAGCTCTTCTAGCAGAGATGGAGCTCTTTGGCAGAACAGTGAATTGGAAGGCAAAGTAACTGCTCTGGGTGAAGGAGTGAAGTCTTCCATACCTGCCACTGGAACTGTCACTGATGAGGAAAAGGATGAATGAGCTGAACCTGTGAAGAGAGGGAAAGTCTTGATTTTTGTATTGATTTGCTCTTCTGACCAACAGCACCAAAGTGGTGAGGGCAGAGCCAGCTCATTCCAGCCCCAAAGCAGTGCTGAGAGCAGGGTCTGACTGCTCTCCCTCTGCACAAAGGACTTCATAACGGCCACATGTGTTTCTTGGTCACCAACAGATGCTTCCAGCCTGGACATCAACATTCCTGCAAAAAAATGCTGATCTGTGCTAATGGCAGGCATGAAGTGATCTGGGAATAGGATCCAGCTAAAATTTCATAGGAGGCTGGGAAGGAAAACATTCAAGGTGAGACACTGGCCCAGGCTGCCCAGGGAGGCTGTGGCTGCCCCAACCCTGGCAGTGTTTCATTCCAGGTTGGCTAAAGCCTTGAGCAACCTGCTCTGGTGGGAGGTGTCATTGCCCAGGGCAGGGGGTTGGGCATGAAGTGATCTGGGAATAGGATCCAGCTAAAATTTCATAGGAGGCTGGGAAGGAAAACATTCAAGGTGAGACACTGGCCCAGGCTGCCCAGGGAGGCTGTGGCTGCCCCAACCCTGGCAGTGTTTCATTCCAGGTTGGCTAAAGCCTTGAGCAACCTGCTCTGGTGGGAGGTGTCATTGCCCAGGGCAGGGGGTTGGGGCTGGAGGATCTCTAAGGTCCATCCAACCTCCTAACACATTATGAAACTGGATCCCTAAGGACTACAGAGCAATATTGGTGGAATTCTTGCTGTTTCTTTGCTCAAAACACCATCCTGGGTATTAAGAACTGAGCCATGTTACTCAGGTTATCCCTATGGACTAGCTAAACTCTGGAGCCTGAACCCCTGAGCAACCACAAGGGATGCTTAGACACACCTTTCACAGTAGCTTACTGTAAAGTGGCAACAGATGATCCACTTTGTCAGTGTGTGACTGTGGCTCTTACTGCTCACAAACTCCTGCAATTTTGCAGTTAGTGTGAAAGACAAGGCAGGAGAGAGCTATGTCCTCCCCAGAGATATCATCTCCCTCAGCCAGAAATTATATCTCCAACAGTGTCAGGACCCTGAGGCTGTTGATGTCTCCACCCTGAACCCCAAGCAGGGTGTTCCCTAGGACTGAGGTGCTGAGCTGGGAGGTCTGGGCCCTGCAGGAACAGGTCATGACACTGATGTGGTGTAATAACAACCACCTCACCTGGTTCAGC